GGGAACAATGAGCAATTACATACCATTTCTTAATGCTTAAAATGGGAAAAAAAAGCCTAACTGTAACTAATGTTAAAATGTTCTCTCCCTCATCCTCCTACCTATCCTTTCTACCCTCTATGCGTGTACTTACCAATTTTTAATCCAGTAGAGTCATGTGATCCCATAGTTCTGACTCCACTGCACCAGTGAGCAGCTGCTGCAGGGGAGAGGAGAGAGTGTCGACAACTGCTGGGCCATGGGTGTCCATGAGTGACTTCACAGCTTACGGAATTCACAGCAGTTGACAATCGTTCCTTTGCACAGAGCTGCAGGATCACATGACTGGACAGCAGCAGACTGAAAATAGGTAGGTTTGCAGATTTTCTTTATACAGGTTAGGCATGACAGGTAGAATGAGGGAACATTTTAAGAATAGTTGCACGTAGGGTTTCCTTACATTTTAAGCTTCTTTATTATTTTTTTTTTACCACAGAACAGATGGTACTTACATTGAGAAGTGTCACTGGTGTTGGTGGCTAGTCTGTTCAATGAAATCTTCATTTTTGCTGCTAATACCCAACAGCTGTCATCTCCCAGTGATGGAGGGTTAATATGAGCTTTGGATCTGTCATATGCACTCATCAGAAGTGATGACTATAGCCACCATTTTGTCCCCCTTTCTCCTCCATTCATTGAAGATGTACTATCACTTCCTTCAATGAATGTACGATGGGTAGATGAAAGAAAGGTCAACCATCTACATTCATAGAACACTTTTAATTGTGGAAAGTGATAGTGAAGGGATGGGCATAGTCAAAACTCTTAATGAGTGCCCATGACAGGTCCAGTGGCTCATGTTAACACCCACGCCAAACACAGCAGCCACCAGCACAAGGGACATTTCTCATTCATTGTAAGTACCATTCCTTGTGCTGATTAAAAAAAAAAAAATAACAAAACTTAAAGTGGTTGTAAAGGCTCAATGTTTTTTATCTTCATGGATTCTATGCATGAAGGTAAAAAACCTTCTGTGTGCAGTAGCCCCCCCCCCCAATACTTACCTGAGCCTCACTGCGGTCCAGCAATGTGCATGAGAGCCTCGGCACTCCAGGGACTCTCCCTCCTAATTGGCTGAGACAACAGCGGGAGACATTCATGGCTCTCTGTGTGAATGGACAAACAGATCAGCGGCTATGGCTCTCTGGGGCAGTGTTTCTCAACTCCAGGGACCCCCAACAAACAGATTTCCATTATTTTGCAGGTGATTTGATCAGTTTCACTGGTAATTACCACAGTGTTTCATCTGAGGGAAATCCTGAAAACATGACCTGTTGGGGGTCCATGAGGACTGATTGAGAAACACTGCTCGGGGGAACTCGGCAGGATGGAGTGACCAGGAGTGCCAGCGTGGGACCTGAGAAGTAGAGCATCAGGCTGTTATGTACAAAACCACTGCACAGAGCAGGTAAGTATAACATGTTATTTATGTATTTATTTTCATTGCCTTTAATATCACTTTAAGCTTTAAATCTTATTTTCTTCTTGTCCTAACAGCACCCAGTAATGGCAAGTGACATTGAAATCCATTGCATTCCTAGCAAAAAGTATACCAGAAGACTAGCAAGAGACCAGTAAAAAAGTAAGTCGTGTTCTGGGTAAGCAAAGTTCGCAATTTTTGTCAAAAAACATGAAATGAGATCTTAGAAGAAAAATAAAAATCACTATTTCTCGAGAATGATCTAAGCAATTTCATCTTGTGGATGACCTAAGTCTAACCCAGAACAACTTGTGGGCTGCAATGACTCCTTAAAGTGTAAGCCGGGTTCATGCTAAGAAGAAAAAAAAGACCTTAAGTACATCTCTCCATTTTCTATTACGGTAATGTCCTCCAAGTGCAGCCTTTACTTCCATTTTCTGCCCACTCGTGTAAACGTGTTCCATGGTGGTGCTGATAAAAACTGTCTTTAGAAATTATTGTCAACAGGAGAAGAAAAATGATCATTATCTAAAAGAAAACCACAACTAAAACACCATAAAATTTGATGTTTTTTAGCACTCAGATGTGTGAAACTACTGAGTGCTTAACACACTCTATTGATTTGTCTGCTGCGGTAATGGGCACTTTGTTCTTTCAACACATGGAACCAGGTGTACTGTATCACAATCACCTAACATGGACATAAGGAAGCATTAAGTGGGTTCCATGAGATAGTTATTACAGTCAAAGAGAATTTCAACTCTCACTTTATAAGGGAACTTAATGTGAATCTGTGCTTTCCCCATGCACATAAAAAAAAAAATCCATTCTTCTTGTTGCGTGATGGTGGGGGCCCCAAGGTTGTGCTGACTGGTCACCACAACCCATTCATGCTTGTACCTGTGAATGTTTCCCTCAATCACACTAAGTTCCTCTGTGCTCAGGACTGCTTGCGACACCTAGAGACTCTAGATGCTCCTATTGCTTTTCCCTTAGCATAAACTCATCCCTTTAGACATTAGGATGTCCCTAACCAATATTATCCCTCTACTTCCACATACCCACTTACAGTAATGAATCCAAAAGCAGCCCATACCTGTGGTGGCACCCCATTGAAGCTATTTATATTCTTGAGCACTACCCAAGATGCCCCACTGCCAGCAGGGCAAGACTGGCATTAACGCTAAGTGCCCAGTACCCATCACCAACCTTTGGGGACTGCTAGTGGCTCCTACAGTACCTACACTGCCTACTGATCCAAGTGGTCTAATAGGACCATCTTGTAACCAAAAAGGGGAATTACCACTTCCCTTTTGGTGCAGGTGGTGGGTGGTCCTTATAGCCTGTCCGTATTCACAGACAGCGCAGAGCTCATGTAACACTCAAGTGGGCTCACAGCAAGTGGATTGAATAATGATGGGCCCCATTCAACCCAGAAGGCCAGTGGTGCTGGATCAGGGAACAGTGCATTTTGTGGGGACTGTGCTAGAATGCTAGATGCTTATTAATAGTTTACCACAATAGGCCACTGGCCACTTATCTATTTAAAACATACACTTGGGCTTTATGCAGACCTCCACAGCAGTATCTACTTACCTTCATTTTGCTTCCACACCACTCCATTCAGCCACCAAAAGTTAAAGTGTAAGCTGTGTAAGTTACAAGTTCTTTAAGTCTTGTTTACACCGGAGTATGGACTCTTCAGTGACAGTGCTGTCACGTGGGTAAGTCACATACACCTTCATACATAGAAGTATTGTGTCTGCTTTATCATCTCTGCAGGAACCAGGAAGAGGCAGCCAACTCTCTATGGTGCGAACAGGACAATGGAGCAAAATAAAAAGGACAACTCTGGATCCTCTGGGCATGTAAATATATTATTCCAGCACAAAAAATGCACTACCTGTAAATGGGAAGAAAAAGTAGATTTTTCTTTTATTGTAAAATTGATGTTCCCCTTTAAAAACCACCTTAATGTTGTCTTCCCCATTGACTTTAATGCATTTCACAAAAATCACAAAATGTCCAGATCTCTGCCATCAATTCAGGAAAATGAAAACTCTCCGTTTTGCTCTGCTTTACTCTGTACCTCAAGTCCTAGTTTCACACATTGTCAACAATCACTATGTTTGAGTCTCACTCTGCTTGTTGGATCCTGTATTATGTAGAGTGAAGAAAGACTGACACAAGAATAGGAAATCTGGCCAGCAGTGACAGAGCCATATACTCTAATCTTTGCACACCTCAATTTCCTGTAATTGTATGGATGTGCCATCCACCAATTCACTACAATTCTCTGCATGACCTATGGGTAAGTCTGTAGGGAGTGTGACAGATACAATTCAATTACCCCAGGTACTCTAACCCATCACTGTAGGAGCTAACAGAGCTGTAAGAAATCACCGGGCTATTAAGAACGTCAGAGATTTCTCACAGCCAAAATACCAGTTTTGGAAAATTCTGCCATGAAAATTTCAGCCACAAATTCAGGGAAATTAAATCTCTTAATTTTGCTCTTCCTTACTCTGAACTTCAAGTCCCAGTTCTACCCATTGCTCACAATCACTATGATTGGGTCTCAGTCCACTTGTTGGATCCTTTTACTATACATTATGTCGAGTGCAACAAGAGGATTGACACAAGAAGAGGGAATCTGGTTGGAAGTGACCGAGTCAGATACTCTGACCTTCAAACACCTAACAAACTTTGCCCACTGTTCATGCGGGATGCTGTGGTGAATTGGTGGATAGTTACACCATGCAATTAAAGGAAAATAGGATTTTTACCAAAAATGGTGGTGAAGGTCCTTATTTTCCTATAAAAGTATGGTCGTGTCATCCACAAATTCAATACAAGATTCTGCATGAACCATGGTCAAGTCTGTAGGGAGTGCGATGGATACAATACAACTACCCCAGGTGCTCTACCCATCACTGTAGGAGCTAACCAGAGCTGTAAGGAATCACCGGGCTATTAAGAATGGCAGAGACCTCTTACAGCCAAAATACCAGTTTTAGAAAATTCTGCTGTGGATCATTTTAGTATACATTATGTAGAGTGCAGTAAGACGATTGACACAAGAAGAGTGAATCTGGTTGGCAGTGACCGAGCCATGTACTCTAACCTTAGCACACCTTACAAACATACCCACAGCTCATGCAGGATGCTATAGTGAATTGGTGGATGGTTTCACCATGAAATTATAAGAAAACTATGATCTTCACCAGCAGTGAAGATCCTTTTACAACACAACTACCCCAGGTAATCTAACCCATCCCTGTTGGTGCTGCCCAGAGCTGTAAGAAATCATTGGGTTATTAAGACCACCATAGACTTCTATCAGCCAAAATACCAGTTTTGGAAAAAATTGTGAAGGCACACTGCATCTAAATCCAAACAATAACTTTTAAATAGTATGAAAAATGATGTGCTTGGCTTCTCTGGGTTAATTTTAAAGAGTAATCTCTTTATCATCGGTGTTACTTGAGTGTGACAAGCTACAGTTTCATGCTGTGTACAAAGAGTCGCTCACACATCTTACCTGAGCAGGTCTCATTAAATTCATCTTCATTATTTCCGCAATCATTGGCGCCATCACAAAGCCACCTCTTGGGAATGCAGCGGTTACTCTGGCACTTAAATTGATCTCCCGGACAGCTGTGGTTCACTAGCAAAACAAGAAGCCGCAAGTGAAAACACTTAACATGCGCTGCTTGCAAATGAGCCCGGCTCCAAAATAATGCATGTAAATGGGGCTCCAAAATTATAGCGCGATGAGGGAGCATGTCAGATAGCATTTATTTTTATTAACAGATGAATAAAGAGCTAAATGAGTTTTTAATGGTATTTTGTTCAAAAGAAAATGAATGCTACTAAGTCATTTGTCAACACTGAGATAAGCTTTAATTCCAGAAACAATGGCTCATAATTTTTATATTGTTAACAACCAAATGGTAATCAGCTTTTTAGTGATTCATGTTCCAGAAAGTGATCTTCCAGTGGCAGTACTCAGCATAATTGACTTTTGTGCAACTTACGCTAAACATTTATTTTTCTTAACAATTTTGGTCCTAGTACAGTAAATAATGAACTGCACTAAAATGAAGTTAATCTTCATAGAGAGTAAAGAAAAACATTTCTTGCCCCTAGAGCTCACTGTTCAATACCCATTCTACATCCATATACTGTACACACTAGGACCTGCTTATAGAGAATCCATTTTAGAAAACAGACGGAACACACGAACTCCATGCAAACAGGTCCATGGATGACTTGCCACATGCTGTCTAAGACTGAGCAACTGTAAAGTCCAAGTCAAAAATTTTGGAAAAGAGAAACCTTCGTCAAAATTGATTTCCAGTTTAAAGTGTATCAAAACTCAAGAACAAAAAGGTTATATACTCCAACTTACCAGTCCTTAGATGTGATGACTGCATTAGTTCCCTTTATTTGGCTAAGCTTTTTTTTTTTCCTTTATTTCCATCTGATGATTCTGCCAGTAACACACTTCCTGTTCTAATGCTTACTGTAATATATCTATGGAGAAGCAGCAATCATACCCTAGGACCCTTCTCCATAGCATAGATAAGGAATGTGGAGAGAGTGAGAGCACCGCAAGTATAGTGATCCAGATCATTTTTAAAGTAGTTCTAAAGGCAGGAAGTTTTTTTTTACCTTAATGCATCCTTCTGCATGCAGCTCCCCCCACCCACCCCTAATCCCCCTTATCTAATACTTCACTGAGCCCAATCTCGATCCAGCAATGTGCATGAAAGCAGAAGCTGCCTTGACTTTCTGCCTCCTCAGGCTCAGACACAGCAGTGGGAACCATTGGCGCTCTCTGGTGTCAATCATAGCTAGTAATTAGGGACTGGGGGGCGGCTCTGAGCCATGCTATGTGTGTTTTATAGAAACACAGAGCTGGCTTGGCAGTGAGGAGCGACAGGGGGGAGAGAAGAGAAGGATCAGGGTTGCTCTGTGCAAGACTATTGACATATTTGTTATTTGAAAAAAACTAAAATGTACTCCTTTACAATCACTTTAAGAAAAGTATAAGTCCAATACATGTTTATTTTGTGTGACATAATGACACAAAAAAAAAAAACGCCAATGCATTTTGGGGGACCAATAATCCCCCATCATCAACGTTGTGGAACAGGATAACCTAAATATAAAATAAATGAAAAAGATCTATTTTTGTAAGCACATTTTAAAGCCAAAATCCAAGAATATAAAAAATTCACCATTTCAATGCCCCCGCCCCACAGTGCAAGGGTATAATGCCCATTATATCTAGTGGGTATATTGCTGGCTGTATTGCTCACCTGCCTGTCTGCTCCAGCACTTTCCTTGGTCTGTGGTTGGAGTCTAGTCATCATCACGCACAATACTGGGACATATATCCGATATTGTATGTTGAAGGAGGTTGAGGTGCAATTGTGGTTGATCTCAGCTGCTGTAAGTATTTCTCCCTATTCCCCCTTATTCCTGCTTTTACTGGTATATTTAACTGACTAAAAGGGACCAAATAAGAAAAATGTACTGTCAGGGTTTATGTACACTTTTGTATAAATTACCTCACCCAGGAGTCCTCAAGGTCTCTAGACAGCCAACACGTAAGAAAAATGGAGCTCTGCAGTTTACTTGGGCTAAGTGACTCCTTGCCATTAAAAAAATCACCTATATTCTGACAATGCTGCTACTGCCAACAGATAAAATGGACAGGTACCAAGACAAAGCCTTTCCATGGCGCTAAATCTAGAGGGGAGAAACAGAGGTCTACTTATCTAAAGACAAAACATTTTATTTTTATTTTGGTGAGGGGTAAGAACACACCCTCCATATCTGTCCTGTTGACCACTTGACCAAATGGGAACAAATTCCAAATGTTGAGTTGTCTTCAGAACAGCAATTGAAGAGAAATCTTCCAGTGGATACACTTGATCTGATGAGTTGGATAGGAGTTCTTCCTGGCTGCTTCTTTGTAGGTCAAGAAATGAAAGGAATGAGTTTTATCTACTGCCTACTCTATCCAAGAACAAAAAGAATAATAATATTTGATACTTTTAAGATGTATTATAGATATGCTGTAATATGATGATATATATATATATATATATATATATATATATATATATATATATATAGTGAACGAAATAAGTATTTGATCCCCCGCTAATTCACACACATTCACTGGCCACTTTATTAGGTACACCTGTTAAATTGATTGGTACCACAAATTGTTAATCACATGGTAGCAACTCAATGCATTTAGGCATATAAACGTGGTGAAGACAACTTGCTGAAGTTCAAACCGAGAATCATATAGAAGGGGTGTTTAAGTGATGTTGAACATAGCATTGTTGTTGGCGCCAGATGGGCTGGTCTGAGTATTTAAAAAATTGCTGATCTACTGGGATTTTCACGCACAACCATCTCTGGGGTTTACAGAGAATGGTCCAAAAAGAGAAAATATCCAGTGAGTGGTAGTTGTGTGGATGAAAATGTCTTGTTGATGTCAGAGGTCAGAGGAGAATGGGCAGACTGGTTCCAGATGATAGAAAGGAAACAGTAACTAATGTCAATATGAACCAAAATTTCTGAGGATTGTTTCCAGCACCTTGTTGAATCTATGCCATGGAGAATTAAAGATAGTTCTGAAGGCAGAAAGGGGTCCAACCCAGTACTAGCAAGGTGTACCTAGTAAAGTGGCCAGTGAGTGTATATTTAAAGTCAGTTTTGAAAGCACATCAGGGTAACTGTTCCATGGGTTGAACAAAGCATTCCATAGTTTCAATAGCACCTTAAAGAAAGTGTTCCATGGCAGATAATCCCGGCTCTATTGATGCTAAATAGGCTTTAAAGTAAAATAATTATGCTGATACTATGGACAAACTTTTAACTGTCCTTTTCTCTAGTAATTTCTATGTTATCCGAATGACCAGCATCCTATAATTTTGCATTCGAACTTGTTAAATTTTATAACTTTGTAATTATTTCAACAACACTTGAGAATCCAGACGTTTGAGCTGAACAATTAGTCTGGTGATTATAAATCTTTCTCATTAATTTTCATTGGTTCTGGAGCTGTGTGTCACAAAAATCGAGTTTATGATCTGTTTGACCTTAACAGTGCTGAATAAGATACTACAGATAATTAGGCCTGATACACAACTTTTCAATAAACACGGGTTATGGCCAAAGGTCACACTCACAATGTCACAGGCTCTTCTAGGTGCTGGTATAAGAATATCTAGTAGAAATGATGAACATGATGGAGGATAATTACAATTATTAGCGGGGGTATTAAGGTGGCTCATTTGAAAGCTGAACTCCATTGAAACAGATAAATACCCATTTGTAATAATTTTATCTACCAATTATTCATTCTTTTGTGGTCCATACACCTCTGCTAGACAGCAAAACATGAAGAGTGACACCACCTTTACTGTTAGAGTCAACAAATACTGTTCTGCCCCAATTTCATATATTTTTCTGTGTTGAATTGCACTTCATTAGGTTGTTATTGTTTTGTAATATGCTGACATCTATTGTTGTATACAACGTGTTTATTAATGTGATTTTGGTTTCTCCCTATGTCCACTCCTTCTGTTTAGTGCAGACTCTACCTCCGCAACATCACCAAAAAACGCACGTTCCTAACCCCAGAAACCACTAAACAGCCATCCACTCCCTCATCATATCACGACTCGACTACTGCAACTCCCTCCTCACTGGCCTGCCTCGCCGCTGGCTATCCCCGCTCAGTCAATCCTGAATACGGCTGCCAGACTCATTCACCTTTCCAACCGCTCCGTTTCCGCCACCCCCCTCTGCCAATCCCTTCATTGGCTTCCGATTGCACAACGGATCAAATTCAAAATCCTAACACTGACATACAAAGCCGTCCACCATACTGCTCCAAACTACATCACCGACCTAATATCCAAGTACCGCCCAGCACGCACACTCCATTCCTCACAAGACCTCCTTCTCTCTAGTTCCCTGGTCTCCTCCTCCCATGCCCACCTCCAGGACTTCTCCAGGGTGTCACCGATCCCCTGGAACTCCCTGCCCCAACCCATCAGATTATCACCTACTCTCCTCTCCTTTAGGCGCACCCTGAAAACACATCTCTTCAGGGAAGCCTACCCCACCCCTGCTAACCTGCCGACCTCCTCCACTCTACCTACCACTCCATCCCCCACAGCTATCTCCTCCTGTGCCACCATCCCCTCCCTCCTAGATTGTAAGCTTGAAAGAGCAGGGCCCTCAATCCTCTCATGGTTTGCATTGTATTGGTATTGTTCTGTCACATGTTCTGTCCCCCTTTGTAATGTACAGCGCTGAGCGAACCATTGGTGCTTTATAAATACTGTATAATATTAATAATAATAATAGTGCTAGTTAGATTAGTCCCAGCTAGACCTTCCCTCTTTCTTCCATGTTCCCACAGTCAGTGCTAGTAATTCCCAGAGACAGGGCTCAGGAAAGTCATTGTTTTCTTCCACTTTAAATTACTGGAAAAACACCATGTGTACTTCAATTAGCTGAAGTAAAATTGAGTTGGATTCAACTAATGTATCTTATTGAAGAGTTAAGCTGCCTGTGGACGATGCCAAGTCAGCAGGTAACCATACTGTCTGTACAGACAGGGTCTAAGAAGGAATGTCAAGCAGCATTTTAAACAGAATATGGTGGTCTCACCTCTCCACTCCTAGCCTACTGCAGTGTTGTCCTGTGTCTTGTGTACTCTTCAATAAAATATAAAACAATGTTATTAGGAAGTGTGTTATGACTACAGAACACTTCTCTGCTAGGTTTTGGGGAAGATGAAATGCTCTGTAGCTACAAAACACTTATTGTCCTAGGGTGGCAACGCTCCAATATAGGTACAAAACAGTGAGTAAATATAAGCTGATAAAAGAAAACTAATGTAGCAATTACTTCTAAGGACTGGTAAGGTTTAATATATTAAAATGTTATTGGGTTTGCTAACACTTTAGGTTGTTCATGGGAGAGTCACAACCAGGCCCAGATTAGCCATAGGGCACACCGAGCACTTGCCCGTTGGGCTGGGGTCACCCAGTCTGTGGCCTGTTGATGACCGGCACCACAGCGGGAGGTAAGCTGCAAACACAGTCCGAACAGGGCCAACACAAACCACGGTCACCTCCTAGTATGCGGCCATGCCTGTGTCCTCTCCCAGCTCTCCCGCCTGGTCAACGTTTTCATCCTATAAACAGAGCTGAGGGCAGGAGGAACTTGACAGGGACACACACAGGATGGAAGGTGTGATCCAGCAGTGACAGGGTCTTTTGGTTTCTTCTCGCGATCTTGTCTCCCACCTCCTCCTTGGTCCTCTATCTCCTCAGTCATGTTGGCTCTCCACAGCCTTCTGTGGGATCTTGTCTCTCCCCCTGTACTGCTGGTGTCTGGTGCTGCCAGGGTGGGCCTGTCTCTCCCATGTTATGGTGCCTATTAGGGCGGGAGCAGAACACTATTGCCACACATATTGCAGGAGGGCACCTGGCCTCAGAGGGGAATCCTGTGCTGGCCAGAGCTGCCAAGGAAGTGGTAAGTGTCCCTGTAGTGGTGTGCCCACACAATGTGACCCCTCCACTGCCAGAGAGACCTGGGTAACCCTGATCCACAGGATTGTAACAGGAGAGCCCAGGGTCAGCCAGCTGTCAGCCGGCGGTGATCTCCTCCTATGCTGGTGGTGTGCTGATCATCATCCACAGTGACAGTGTCAGGGATGAAGAGCTCCACATCATGTGTAATAGTGACACCCTCCCATATCCAGTTGCTATGTTCTCATATCATCCTGATAATATTAATCATATCAATCGAATGCAAAACATAATAATGATAAATTATGAGATAAGACTGCCCAGAGAGTAAAACGGGGCACTGTGATTAGAGAGACTGCAAGGGGGGGGGGCTGTGATTTTTAGAATCTGCAAGGGGCACTGTGATGTATTGGGGCTGTCACATGTTCTGTCTCCCTTTGTAATTTTTATTGGCGTTTATAAATACTAATCATAATACAGTGTCCCTTTACAGTACAGTCCCCTTTATATCACAGTGCCCCTTTATATTACAGTGCGGAGAACCGATTCCATGAATATCTCTTTACTAACCCCCCCACCCGAAAGCCTTCCCTCCCCCCACACCTTTGTTGGACCCGTGAAAAATTGGCTGCTCAGTATAAAATGCTCATGCCTACTTTTTATCCCAGTCCAGGCCTGGTCACAACTGTATATAAGTTTTACTTCTTCTTAGTGACACTTGCCAGAGGCATGCATGACGGATAATTTTGCTCTACATCTGAACACTGATAGGGCACAAAGCATTAATGGTCCTCTATAAATGCTTAACTGCTTCCCCGCTGCCATATAGCAGAACAGGGTGGCCTGCTACAGGGTGGCAGGGCTGCGCAAAATCACGTATATATATATATATATATATATCTATATATGTGTGATTTTACATTTCCTGGTAGGGGACGTGCGTGTGTGCCGCCTTACCCGTGAGGCCTACCTGTGCCACCATTGGCGGCTACAGCTGTCAATCACTGGGTCCTGGCTGGAGATTCCCCACCGGCACCCATTGATTGCCGAGGAACAGTGAAAGGGGAGAGGTCTGTATGTAAACAACACAAGTCTCTCCCCTGTCAGCACAAACAGGCTGCTTTGTGTTGCTCTGCACAGCAGAGAAATACAAAGCAGCATTCTTACACAGTAAAGCACACACAGATAACACAGTAAAACACAAACAGCACACAGTTAACCCTTTGATCACCCCAGATGTTAACCTCTTCCTGCCCATTGTCATTAGTACAGTGTCAGTGCTTTTTATTAAATCAATGTATTATTGTCATTGGGATGTCAGTGGCAAATAGTCAGTCCCCCCCCCCCCCCCCAGTGTCAGAATGCCTGCCGCAGTTCTGCTAAAAAAAAATCGCTGATCGATGCCATTATTAGTATAAAAATTGTTTAAAAATTCAAGAATATATACCACCATTTGTAGACACTGTAACTTTCACGTAAACCAATTAATTTACACATATTGGGATTTGTAGCAGAATACAAATGTTTTATAGCAAAAAGTCGAAAATTTTGTTTTATTTCAAAATTGTCCATCTTTTTTTGTTTATAGCAAAAAAAATAAAAACGAGGGGGCAATCAAATACCACCAAAAGAAAGTTCTATTTGTGGGAAAAAATAGGACACAAATTTATGCACAGCATTGCATGACCGCGCCAATGTCAGTTAAAGTAAGGCAGCGCTGTATCGCAAAAAATGGCCTGGACAGGAAGGGGGTAAATCCTCTGGAGTGCAAGTGGTTAAACACTTTGGCGTGTATTGTTCTCACCAACATGAAGGGACCTAAGCACACCACAAACAGCAAGAATATTTATATTCTTATTATGTAGATATATTATGAACAAAGGAAGCACTTAAGGTGAAGTTGAGACTTCTTCCAAGACTTTTCCGTGTTAGCTTCACTTGACATTTTTCTGGGTTGTAAACCGGTGTCCTCATAGCCTTGTTACATAATTAAGCAATTAGAATTCTTGTTAATACATTCACAGTTATATGACTTGGAAGCCCTGGACACCCCGCTGGAACAGACAGCAGTAACACACCGTCTGGGTTCATCTATAAATAAATAAGTTGTAAATGACAAGTACGTACAGCAGGCGTCAACATTTTCATCGCTTCCATCCAGGCAGTCGTCCTCTCCGTCGCACTTCCAGCCAGCTTGTATGCAGTGCTGGTTTTTACACTGAAATTCTTCCAAGCTGCATAACTTTGGTGAGGTTTCATCAGTGATAACTGTAATTCACAGAAGAGAAGCCATAGTTACAATAAGTTTTAAAAAAGAATAAAAATGTGTGCATGCTGTAAGGAAGGATGGACTTGCAGGCAGGGCTGCTGTCAGAAATCACAGGGCGCTGTACAGCCTAGCTGTCAGGAACAGTGAACCAAGCCTAACAGGCAGCTCCTGCCGCATGAACAAACCACTCATTCATGCAACCAGAATACCTGTGAGAATGAGCCTTTGATTATGTTTTTTTAAATATAATTTTACAAATTTATTTATTTGTTATTGTTTTTACATTTTGTAAACAGCCCTGTAAAGGTTGGTGAGTTATCAGGGGTCTGAAAAGACACCCAACATCTCACTGTTGAGAAAGAGATTGAGGACACAGCACCCTCAATCCTTTCTCTGCAGTGCTAGCTTCAGAGTGAATGAACAGAAAGCTATCTCTACAAAGGTTCCCTGTTCATTCATAAACGGAAGCATTGTAAAGACAAGAAGAGCCAGACAGGAATTGATCCCAGTAATCGCACCAGCTCCTGCTGCTCTGGTCCCCCCTGTTGAACTTACTCCTAACATACAGGAGGGCAGGTTTAACATTATTCCACATGGTTTTAAAATGGAATGTACACCAAAATCATATAGGTCTAGTGTTCACAAACATTTTACCATATAGTCTACATCAGTGTTTCTCAACTTTTTTTCAGTCAAGGCACCCTTTATAATTATAAACAAGGTCAAGGCACCCTCTAAAATTATGGACAGTCCCAAGGCACCCTCTAAAATTATGGACAGTCCCAAGGCACCCTCTAAAATTATGGACAGTCCCAAGGCACCCTCTAAAATTATGGACAGTCCCAAGGCACCCTCTAAAATTATGGACATTCCCAAGGCACCCTCTAAAATTATGGACAGTCCCAAGGCACCCTCTAAAATTATGGACAGTCCCTAGGCACCCTATTCTAAAATGTAAAAACTGTTTTATATAACGCAGCAACATCCTTACACGTAGGACACTCAGCATTAGAAGTGATTTATTTTGCACACTGATACTGACTAGTATTCCGATGTTTCTCTTCTCTCTGTTTTTCTCCATCACTGAGCTAATGTGACCCCAGCACTGATGGAGTGGGGCAGAGGAGGATCAAACAAGGATGCTTTGCAGGTAACTGACATCCTCCTTATCAACCGATGATGTAATTGGTTGTCAAGACGCCGGTGGCTAGAAGGTCATAATGGCGCACAATGAAAACCTTTGGCTTTGTTTAACTAAAAGGTAGGAATGTTCCACCAGCTGGCTTGTATACAAGTTTTGGTCAGTTTTTAGACATCCCTGAAGAAACCTCAAGGCACCCCTGGGCACTCTGGTTAAAAAGGCTGGTCTACATCATAAGTGCTCAACCTGTGGCCCTCCAGATGGTGTGGAACTACAACTCCTATCATGCCTCTACCTTTGGGAGTCATGCTTGTAACTGTCAGCAGCTTGCAACGCCTCATGGGACTTGTAGTTTCACAACAGCTGGAGGGCCACAGGTTGAGCACTCATGGTCTACACCTACAGCACATATTTACTGCAGGTAAATATGGCACTCGAGCTAGAAAAAGACACTAGGTTGGTCTACTAAAGGAGTTTAGGCTGTTCACTTACCACAGTGAACTTTCAGTTTTCAAGGGAGTTCTCACTTAGCTCTACCAATCATGTGCAAGAAAAATTCCATTTTTTTTATTAGTGTAGCCACCCTGCCCTGTGCAGGAATGTCTATTTAAATTTAGTGGTGCTAAGCTTCAGTCAGCTTAGCTGAATTGATAGTTTAGCTTCTTTGGGTTTCCCCTGGGCCCTGGGTAATGTATGATGACATGACTAAGGCGTGATTGTGAAGAGAGTAAGATATTTTACACTCACCAGCCACTTTATTAGGTACAATTTGCTACTACTGGGTTGAACCCTCTTTTGCCCTCAGAACTGCCTTAATTCTTCATGGCATAGATTCAACAAGGTGATTGAATTATTCCTCAGAGACTTTGGTCCAAAATGACATGAGCTACTGTTGCCTTTCGAACCAGTCTGCCCATTCTCCTCTGACCTCTGACTTCAACAAGGCATTTTCGTCAATACAACTGCAGCTCACTGGAAATTGTCTCTATTTAAGACCATTCTCTGTAAACCCTAGAGATGGTTGTGTGTGAAAATCCCAGTAGATCAGCAGTTTTTGAAATACTCAGACCAGCCCGTCTGGCACCAACAACCATGCTACATTCAAAGTCACTTAAATCCCCTTTCTTTCCCATTCTGATGCTTGGTTTGAACTTCAGCAAGTCATCTTCACCGCATCTAGATGCCTAAATGCATTGAATTTTAAACCATATGATTGGTTGATTAGCAATTTGTGTTACAAAGTAATTGAACAGGCTAATAAAGTGGCCGGTGAGTGTATTTCAGGAAGATAAAACTTCCAGTAAAGGGACACTGTAAACTTTTTCTTTGTCCGCGTGTATTTGCTAAATATAAACTAATTTTTACTGAAAAAAAATTCCCAAGTGTTTAAAATTTTAAGTAAGTTTACAATTTAGTGTTGGACTGCACTCATAGCCATCATAGGGCATCATGAGGCTGATGAGACGTGGGTTGGACGAGGCTGATGAGACGTGGGTTGGACGAGGCTGATGAGACGTGGGTTGGACGAGGCTGATGAGACGTGGGTTGGACGAGGCTGATGAGACGTGGGTTGGACGAGGCTGATGAGACGTGGGTTGGACAAGGCTGCTCTAAGGTGAACTAGCAGCCCACTCTGTCTTGAAGGGTACTACCATTCCTTCAGGGGTCAGAAGGGTGCTACATTATCTTCACACATAATTGGGTATTCTTCGTAGAGTGAGTTTTCTCTGCATTCACTAAGCTAACTAAAAATTCCATGCTAAGGGAACGTACTCTACCCCTTCAGTAAATCAGCCCCTTATTCTCCTGGCTTGTTTGGCAAGTCTCCATACCAAGTCATTTACAGTCTCCTCGTTAGCAGACCGTCCCGGTAATTTGTATGTGTTTGTTCCAGAGATATAGACTTTGTATAAACAGGTTCTGCATAATAGGAAATGGCTTTCATTAGCACAAGAACCTGCAATGTACATAGTTTTGCTTACATTGCTAACAAGCAAATCTGTAAATGAGGACCAAAAGAAAACAGCACTAACAAAGCCTCATGTCTGATGGTGAAATTGGAATTAAACAGGAATGAAGACGCAGACTTCCTTTTGCAACTGAGGTGACAAGTAAACAATGAACATAATGATTTTAACATTTTATAATTGATCCACATAAATGAAAATTCCGGCTCAAATTCTGTTTCCCGCACTGGCCTTTCCCTGACCTCCGAAATGACTCACTGTATGATTCTGTGCAATTGTAAAGTTGTTTCTGACTTTTCTATAATAACTGTTGCATCCCTACTGCTTCTTATTTTTGAACTTGTTGAAATCCAGCGAAACTAGTTTTTTTTTCTGTTTTGAATGTAGTGGAGTGTCAAGTTTTATTGCTGTGCCCCCATTGGGGATATAGCCTCCTACTTACTGTCCTGAAGACAGTTGTTACAGAGATAGGAAGTAGTTAAACCTTAAAGCGGTACTAAACCCAAAAGCAAACATTTATTATATTATAGCTTACCAATTATTAGATGTGATGGCTGTATTAGTTTTCCTTTTTAGGCTTTCTTTCCTTTAGTTTCACCTAGTAATCCAGCCAGTAAGTCTGTTGTTTTTCAATAGAACAAGCTGTACTGCAGAGGCATCAATTATAGGGATGAGATCAACCATTTACTACTGACAGGGGTGCTTGTAATGATCAGCTTGTATTTATATATGTAAAATCTTTATCCCAAAAAAACTGCTTGCTGTAACCAGTGCTGGGACAAGATCATCTAGCACTTAGAGCGAAGATGCCAAATGGCGCCCCCCCCCCCATTCTCTCCCAAATGTATGAGCATTGTGTCACCAAAAACCCCTCCTCTCCCCCCCCCAAAAAAAAATGTGAGAGCTTATCTACATGCTTACCCCCTATGCATAAATTCTCTTTGCAAGCCAAAACTCTCCCCAAACAAAAATTACCCCTCTTCCAGTACAAATCCATAACCCCCCCCCCCCAGCTGAAATCCCCAACCCAACATCTTTTCCCCCCCACCATCCCTTCCAAATCCCCTGTCCCAGCACAAATCCCCCTAAACCCCCTACCAGCACATATCCTTCACCCACACCCTCCTTCTTTACACAAATCCCCCATTCTAGCACGAATCCCCCCCTCTTAGCAAAGCACCCCTCCTAACACCCCCCCCCCCCACAACCCCCCCCCCCCACACACACACATTTTACCTGAGGAGGCGCCTAGGGGAAGCTGCCTTAACAGTTTTGACAGTGGTACAGATGTCAGTTGCTGTAGGGCTATAGGGTCGAATCATCGGGGCCCCACACAAGCTGTCAGCTCGCCACTGTGCGGCGTTTGCTTACCCACCCCCTACTCACATTCATTGCTGGGAGGAGATGGGGGTGGTTTAACAAACACTTCACAGTGGCAATCTGGCAGTCCCAATCCAGTGGCAGCAGGAAGAGCTGGAGGGCAGAAAGAGCACAACCCGCATGTCCCCCCAGTTATCTCCTTTCCAGATCTGGCTTTTGTCCTCCAGCTGTAAGCTGACAAGCTTCCTTCACTACTCCTGTCAGCTTGTAGATAGGAACTCTTCATGCAGTGTTCCCCCCACCTTGCATGATCCCATTGTGCTCAGGGCAGCCGCCACTCCTGCCCACCCTTGTCCTGCTCCTAGCTGCAACTGCTTATAAAGTATTAGCTGGAGTTTGCCATCAATTTGTTAGTGCATCTAAATCTGCTAGTACAACTCACTCCCCCGCCCCCAGACTGACAATACTGCTGCCCAGAAGTGTCCCCTGTGCTCCTTCAACCAGAGTAAGGGCACTCTAATTTTCAGTTTGGCGTGCAGGCTTTTTCTTACTAGCCATACGTCCCATCCTTACACAGGGGCTTTCAGAAGTCTGTGTGGTATGCTTTGATGAATTTTCATTTTTATGGACTACAACCAAGTCTGCCTTTGTTCATTTCCATTATATAGTGGATGGATAGATAACACTGCCAATTCAGGTATTTTTCTTTTAGAAAAAAAAAAAAAAGAAGAAAACAGAGAGCTACCACATCTAAGGACTGATAAAATGAAGCATATTACATTTTTTATAGTTGGGTTAAGTTATTCATTAAGGCTAGGCTCAAGTTGCTCTGAAAAATGATCCATGGTCGATCGCTTTATCACTTTTCAGCAATCTTACCTGGTTTTTTTTTGTGTTTTTTCTCTTTTGCCTAATGGCAATTTACAAACGGGACTAATGTGCCGTGACTGCAAGCCACGCATTTGGCTCGAGTTTGATAGGTGTTCCTGCATGTCGACTAAATTTTCCATGGGCATGGAGAGAGAGGGTGCAGACGTGTATGTGACCAACACACTGAAAGGAGATAGATTGGGGGGCCCGGGTGAGGTGGTCGAGTGATTCTTAAACATTGTAATGTAGCACCTCTCAAAAGACCAAAGATTCTGTATGGTAATAGATAAGGATGGCAGAGGGCACAATTGAGTGTAGCAGTAGGCTCTAATGGCAGCTGGACCTCGCTCGACTCTCCTACATCTGAATCAGGGGTGGACTGACCATTTGGAAACTCGGGCACTGCCCGAGGTCAGTAGGGGCCCCATGAGATGCCCCTGATACCTTTTTCATAGGCTTTTTTGAGTTTGGGCAAGGACACAGGGGCCCCATGATCCCCTATTGCCCGGGGGCCCCATGAGTTGTCAGTCCACCCCTGATCTGGATGATTATTGGATGATTGGACCCACGTAATGTAGAAGACCGACATGTTATAAGGCTCCTAACCTTTTACCTCTGTGAGTTGCTATTTCCATTCAGCTAGCTTTTTATTTACCTATTGCTACACTTAGTCTTCTGCCCCCAGTGGTGTCTCCTTTTGCATGACAGCTATAGGTGCTGCAATTCCTCCCAAGGAAGCTCATCCTGTTCTGCAAAGGTCCATCCCAGGAAGATGACCCTGAATGGTGTTTCTATATGTATATGCCTGATATCACTACATTGTCTTGTAAGTTGCCAATTGTCATGTTAATAAATGAGATTTTATACTGCTACACTCACATGCACCCTATGTGCCCACAGCAGTGGCGTCCCTAGGTGGGTGCAGGGGGTGCACGCCGCACCGGGTGACACTTATTGCGCGGGGTGAAACCAAAAAGTTTTTAAAAGCAAGCCAACAATCCCCACAAGAAGGATCAGGTCTGCGGTAACACGTGGTGTCACCCCTTCAGAGGTGGGCGGTCCCTGTCATGCACACACTGCTGCCTGGCTCTTCCCCTCCCTGTGACCGGTGTTGCAAGATCAGTTAACCCCGATCCATTATGCTCCCCAATCCACAGATCCGATCCATCTTGCGGGGATCATCGGCTTGCAACCTATACTGGGTTAACTGATCTTGCAACACCAGTCTGGGGGCAGGGGGTGCAATGTTGACACAGGGAGGGGAAGAGCCGGGCTGTGTGCGCACGACAGGGACCGCCCACCTCTGAAGGGGTGACATCACGTGTTACTGCACTGGGTGACACCAACCCTAGGGACGCCCCTGGGCCACAGCATATGAACAGCTGTATTGTAGGCTTTTGTTGGGTTGTCGGGGTGACAACAGCTTTTGCTGCACACCTGCCTCCCCGTGAAAGAGAACTAAGGCTAGGTTCACACCAGCATGATGCGACCTGGCGCATGCACGGCTCCATGCGTTATTCTTTCGGCCCTGCTGTGTCACGTGTAGGGCAGCTTATTCTTTCTTATACCCACAAAAAACACAGGGAAAGAAGTCCCCAGCCCTTTTGCAAAATCGCACCGAACAGCATAGTACTACGGCACCATACGGTTTTGTGCGCGTGCAAATGTGTGCATTTGTCAATTCGTGGGGGTACCATTAAGATTTAATGACACCCCCCGCGTGTCTGTTAAACAGCAGGGTGCTTTTGTGAATAATGGGAAAGAACAATTTTGTGCATGTTTCCGACACATACACAGTAGATGTGAACCAAGCCTAACTCTGTACCGCAGACACGCCAGTTGAAGTTGATTGATTGGATTTGGGCAACAAGAAGACAGGATTTTTTTTTTTTTTTTTTAGCACAAAAAAAAGCATACTTTCTTACAAAAGTCTCAAAGGGTCAATATTTATCAGGTCTGCGAATTTATATATAGCTTCTCAGTTTTGCAAGCAGTAGAGAGAAAAAAAAAAATGTGTTTGAGGAAGCCTTACACACACAAGTTGAATTATTGTCATCCATATGCTGGTTATCAGCACAGCCACAAACTCTCCCTCCAGGAATGGCGAGACAGAGCGTTCCGCAGCCTCCATTGTTCAAGCGGCAAGCGTTGTCACCTGCAGATAGAAAATATACACCTTAGCAGCTCATCATTCACAAGCAACGAGGAGACCAACACAGAAATATCTTTGCTGCGAACACGAGAAACATTTGTCTGGTGACTTAAATACTGTTTGCGCACAAACCCCGCAGGCAGCGGAGACATGAAATATTTGTGAACGGTCATCATGAGTCTTTTGATAATAAATAGTTTTTCTTTTCTCTACAGCTAAATACCATCACATTATCAATGAATATTGTGCCGGACCCATGTGCAAAGTGGTAAGGGTTGTAGCTACTCAGTCAATGGCAATGCACAGGAGCGGATGAACGCTGTCCAGGTTCAATAAGCTGGAAGAATCGGATTTGTAATAATATATGCAGAGGAGGGCTTGTGCATTGATGGGGAGAATCCTTCTTTGCTGTATTTTGTACTTACACATGATTTTTTTTTAAAATAAACACTGCAAAGTGCTAATCTTTCAAGCCCAATTGAATTTTTCGACTAAATCACTACAGTTGCATGAAACCAAAAGGTGTGCAAAGTCCTGCATTTTGTTTTCTTTAGAAAAAAAGCTAAATCCTGAGTAGATAAACCAGCTCCCTGCCAGCTGTATTAAAGGACACTTTCTCTTTGTTGTGGAAGCAGTGACCTGTCTTCAAAGGTCTGCCATATTCCTTGTTAAGTCAGAGCTAGAGCTCTACAACCAAACAAGAGCATGAGCTTTGCTGAATGGAGAACTCTATTTCAACAGGTGTTTTGGACTTCTGCATAGAGACCACAGCTTCCATACTGAGAACAAGGATTCCTCCTTGCACCATGTTAGCATGGGGACAGGATTTTTACTTAGTCTTTGTCTGCTTTCTAAAGAAAACAAGCTGTATGTCTGTGCATACCAATTCATTATAAATGGGCTGGCAAGCCAGCTCAATTCGAAAATTAAAGGATGTGCACCTATTTGCCAAGGTGTCACCGTGCACTACACTTTATGGCATGTGCGTTGTGGTGTGCTGCCATGTGTTGTGAAATGGAAGCCATTGTACAGTGCACTGGATGCCATTAACATAGAGGAATGCACTGGTGTACATTGCAATATTGAATGTTACTGCAAAGCATAGCAAAGAATGGGCCCTAACCAGGGGCGGAGTGACAACTCATGGGGCCCCCCGGCAATAGGGGATCATGGGGCCCGTGTCCTTGCCCACACTCAAAAAAGCCTATAAAAAAGGTACCTGGGAATTTCATGGGGCCCCCTACTGACCCCGGGCCCTCGGGCAGTGCCCGAGTGCTCGAATGGTCAGTCTGCCCCTGACCCTGTTTCCTGCTGCATGTCTTCAACTACACCTTTCCCTAGTCTCTGACCTTCCCCCATACTATGTTCACAAGTTCTGACAAAATTATGAAACATTACTTATACAGAATATTAAGTGTGGCCCCCTGGGGACGTCAAGGGCCACAGTTGAGTCCCCTATTGATGTAAATCATTGCTCTTAAATATACCTTCACTTCCTATTTGAAGGAAAACTATTAAACCAAATGCATATATGCTACAGTTTATGTTTTGATGTCAGGTTGCAAATTAGGGGTCAGGATTATATTTTAGAAGAAGAAAATCAGACTTTTTTTCTGTAGTAGAAAGATTACAGCTGTTGTTTGCCCTACTTAGATTTAAAAATTACAGAAATGTTATTGGTCTCTCTGAGCAATACTTCTGTGATACCTTTCCTCCAGTTTTTATTTTTTGGAAGGACCAAAACAAAATGACTGCCTCTACTGATGAGGTATTGATATGAAATTCCAGTATTGCATGACTGCCGAGTCAATCTCACAATCTTGGCCAGACAATCAAGTAACACTGGAATTTTCCATAAGACTGGTCTAACAAGTATAAGGGCCCATTCACACTTGTGTGCTGGAGTCAACATGTGGTATAGCGCACAGTACATGTTCTGAGAGTAGCATACCCATTCAATTTCAAGCCCAAACATGCTCAAAGCAAACACAGCTGGTCCTGAGCACAATGCATGCAATAAAAATCACGTGGTACCTTACAGTGTATTTTTGGCTCAAGGAAATTATGAGCCTGTTAGGCCCAGTGAGCATCGACATACAGTAGGTGAAAATGAACACACAAGCATGAATGGGCCCTACTGAGTCTGTGTGAGCTCCTGAGGAATTCTCATCAGTCATATAAAAGCTCACTGTAGTACCCAGGGGTGGACTGACAACTCATGGGGCCCCCGGGCAATAGGGGATCATGAGGCCCCTGTGTTCTTGCTCACACTCAAAAAAGCCTTTTTAAAAAAGGTACCAGGGGCATTTCATGGGGCCCCCTACTGACCCCGGGCCCTCGGGCAGTGTCCCAAGTGCTCGAATGGTCAGTCCGCCCTTGGTAGTACCTGTTTCCAATAGGGTGCCATTATATTTTTCTCTTTAAATGTAGGCCAGTAGGATCTGTGTTGTGATGATTAGAAGCTTTTTGCTAGACCTCGTTGGCTGGGTGGGTGCTGAAGGTTGGGAAATCTCTAATGCACCTGTAGAGACTTGCCACCCCCTCCCCATGTACCTCTGATTAATGTTATAAAAAATAAAGGTAATCTGTGCATTCTTTACTTTTTTAAAAGTCTACATCCCTGTATGAACAGAGCCACTGCCTATCTCCATACTGCTCTTTGGATTACTGGTGAATATCATCACACATGTGGTCTCCACATTGGGTCCTCTGTCTGTAATGAGCACATATAAGTTCCTTCCGCTATTTTCACAACAGGCAGCCTCATTGCAAGCCTGATTTCCACTGTTATTAAGCATGACGTAACTCAATATCAGGAAAGATTTCAGTTAATTACACTTGCTCAGCTGATAAATGACTCTGGAAATATGGTATGTAAAGTATACCGTGCCTTTATTTGTTTTCCTCGACTTCTTCTTAAAAGCAAACCTGTAAGGTGTATAGCGTGTATACAAGAGCATGCCATAACTGTGCCCAAAATAAAGTACAGACCCATAACCTCACAAAGTGGCCCATGTGCATTCGCAAAAATGTCTAAGATATGGAACTCTCTATTGGAAGAAGATGCCCAAGAACCAGATCACCCATGTGAGAGAAAGAAGAAAGGAGGACACAAGCTCACAATGTATTATGGACTAGAATATGTAATAGGAAATCAGCCTGAATGGGATATTTTACACTCTTTCATCAGTACTCTTGGAAAAGTCAGTTTTTTTTTTCTTTCACAAGGGTCTCTTCCAGCTTTAAAAATAAAGTAACAAAACGGTGAAGAGAAGTTACCAAAACATTTTAAGTCAGGATTTCTCAACCAGGTTTCCAAGGAACCCAAATGTTCCTCCAGAGATTGCTAGGGGTTCCTTGAGCAATGTGAAGTTTCTGCCTCTCAGAAAGTTCCCAATGACACCTTTGATCTGTTTAGCAGTTTAGCAAGGCTTGGTGCTCTGACTTAGGCCCCTTTTACAGCCTTTTATGATCAGATCCATCTCGGGTTTTCAGTCAGACCTGAGTGGAAACTTCAGGCAGGTCCTTGGGCAGGGGGATGTAAATGAACTTGTGTCTGTTTATATCTGCCTCCCTCTAAGCCAGTGTTTCTCAACTCCAGTCCTCATGGACCCCCAACAGGTCATGTTTTCAGGATTTCCCTCAGATGAAACAGCTGTGGTAATTACTAAGGCAGTGAAACTGATCAAATCACCTGTGCAAAATAATGGAAATCCTGAAAACATGACCTGTCGGGGGTCCATGAGGACTGGAGTTGAGAAACACTGCTCTAAGTCCATCCAAGTCCAGAACAAAAACTGGAACATAACTTTTTCTATTTTTAGGGACCTAAATGTGACTGATTGCAGGTGGCCTCATGTAACGTCTATTTACATCTGGCTGCAAATTGAGTGGGTCTGCCACAGTCTGCTGTTAAAAGGTGAACAAAAAACTGAAGGGGCATGAATGCCACAAAACTAACATTTGGCCCATTCTGCTGTGACTCAGTAGGGTGTTCAGTGAATCCCCATGCAGACAGTCACTACTCCCAATATGACATCCACGTCATTAAGCGCTGAGCAAACTGTTGGCGCTATATAAATCCTGTATAATAATAATAATGTGGGCCTGAGTGTGGGTGTGTGTCCCTAAATGCAGATAGTATTTCCCAATTGACATCAATGGGACTGACTACACAGGGATGTATGGAACAACTGTGAATCCCTGTGCAGGTAAACACATCCCTACACAGGCATATGGTATAGTATTATTTTTACACAGTGTTTATAAAGCGCCAACAGTTTGCTCAGCGCTGTACATTATAATGGGAGACAGTACAGTAACAATACAATACACGAGGGGTTCGAGGGCCCTGCTCCTTGGAGCTTACAATCTAGGAGGGAGGTGAGAGTGGTACAGGTGGAAATAGCTGTTGGGGGATGGAGTGGTAGGAAGAGTGGAGGAGATCGGCAATTAGCTGAGGGCGGGGTAGGCTTATCTGAAGAGATGGGTTTTCAGGGAGTGCCTAAAGGTGAGGAGGGTAGGTGACAGTCTGATGGATTGGGGTAGTGAGTTCCAGAGGATGGGGGAAGCCCTTGAGAAGTACAGGAGTCGGGCATGGGAGGAGAAGACCAGGGAACTAGAGAGTAGGAGGTCTTGTGAGGAGCGGAGAGTGCGTTTTGGGTGGTAGATGGATATCAGGTCGGTGATGTAGTTTGGGGCAGTGTTATGAACAGCTTTGTACATCAATGTTAATATTTTGCATTTTATGCGTTGGGCAATCGGAAGACAGTGGAGGGATTGGCAGAGGGGGTATAGTACACCCCAATTGAACAAGGCCTTAGTGATGCTGATCTTCTGCAATCTTTTTGCAGCCTCTTCGAGTCTACATGCACTCCAGGTGTGGCTGCATGGCATTTCGTAGGGTAGGTGGTGACAGCAGTGAATCATGCCTGCATTTTGTGTGTCTGAAAACAACCACATTTTGTCTCTATCAGAAGCTAGTATAACAGGGTGACAACTCA